GCTATTTCAAAACAGAAAAAAGAAATAAGAAAGGGATTTCATGAAAATAAAAGGGAAACCAATAGAGTAGAGGAGAGGGATGGAGAGAGAGAGAGGAGGAGGGGAGGGTTGGGGAACTACTGGGGAGAAATCTACCAACTATGGTGTGTCCATGTATGTGTACACCACAATGAATCCTGATTTTATGTAAAATTATAATGCACTAATTAAAATAATAATAATAATAATAATAATAGAAGGGAAATCAGTGAAGTAAAGCAAGTGGATCAGGGGRAGGAAGGAGGGGAGAGAAGGGAAGGTACTGGGGAATGAGATTGCTCCAGTGATGTTAGGTATGTGCACAAATACAGCATAATGAATCTCACTATTATGTGTAATTATAATGCACCAATAAAAGAAAGAAAAACAGAAAAAAATCTCAGAAATAAAAAGTTTTATATTAGTTTGATTTTTAATTGAGTAATGATTATTTGGAATTATATCTGAGAAATTCAAAATTCTTCCAATTTGTTCACAAAAATATCCTAAAGGTTAAATAATATTTTTCTAGAAATTTCTTTATTTTAACTGAGGAAAAACATTATGTAGTGTCGCTTTATTAAAACGGACAGGTAGCTGTATATCAATGGATGCTATGACAGGACAAACAGTTGTCCCAGAAACTAACTTATTCAGAATCCAATCTTCCCTGAATTCAGCTTGAATTCTCAAAAGCTGGTTGTGGAATATACTGTACTTTGTGATAGAAGTTTCTCGTTTAAAAAAACGGACAAAAATAACTGTCTCAGATCCATTACTCAAGACTGTCCCCATACTCAAGACTGTATTATTTTCTTTTTTTAAAAAAACATTTTTTAATATTTATTTTTTTTAGGTGTAGATGGACACAACACAATGCCCTCATCTTTATGTGGTGCTGAGGATCGAACCTGGGTCCCGCCCATGCTAGGTGAGCGCTCTACTGGGAGCCACAATCCCAGCCCAAGACTGTATTATTTTCAACAAAGTAATATTTAAGTTTCATGGACATGTCATTGATAGGAAAGTGTGTTGCATTTTTCAAACTTAGTCTTCCTTTGTATCCCTTGCCTGCATTAAAGAGAAATATCTTGCCTATCTGACTCCATTAGCAATTTTTATCTTTTGCAATATGCTTCACATTCTAGACCTCTATTTGTCCTGCTCTGACTTTTTCAATGTATTGTTATTAAAATCAGTCAAAATTCTAATGATAAAGATATTGCTTGTTGGATGCTGTTGTTCAACTTTTCCTACCTTGGTTGTTAAATTTGAAAAAGTTTCATGAGACATGTTGAGTTTGGACTTGATAGCTACCACTTCAAAAGATGGTTTTAGGCTAGGCAGAGTGGTGCATGCCTGCAATCCCAGTGACTCAAGAAGCTGAAGCAGAGGATTGCAAGGTCACAGCCAGCCTCAGCAATTTGGCTAAAAAATAAAAAGGGCTGGGGGTGTGGCTCAGAGCTTAAGCACCCCTGAGTTCAATTCCCTGTACCAAGAAAAAAAAGTTATTAAATAAATATTGAATTTAAAAAAATATTTATTTTTTAGTATAGGTGGACACAATATCTTTATTTTATTTTTATGTGGTGCTGAGGATCGGACCCAGTGCCTCAGGTATGCCAGGCAAGCACTCTACCTCTGAGCTACAACCCAGCCCAATACTGAATTTTTAAAAGAAAAAAAAAATTTGTTTGTATGCAGTCATATTTTGGCATTTATCAGTTCAGAGAAGAATTTCAGATTGGCCAGGAGGCTAAGCCAGACAAATTCTGGTCTGCTAGGCAGGGCTAGTTTTTTTCTTCAACCCTGTTGAGAAATGTGAAAAAGCAATAGTGCTAAAGCTTAAAAAAAAAAAAAAAGAGTAACCAAGTCAAAGTCAAGTTTTGTTGCCTTACGATCTTTTAACTACATTTCACTGTTGAACACACTACTCCGACTTCATGGTTTAGGGCACATGAAGACTCACTATCCTGTTCTCTCTACTTTTGTTTGAAATTTTGTACAACAGAAATGTTAAGGGCTGGGGTTGTGGCTCAGGGATAGCATGCTCGTCTGGTATGTGTGAGGCACTGAGTTCAATCCTCAGCACCACATAAAAAATAAATGAATAAATAAAGCAAAGGTCTTGTGCCCATCTACAACTAACTAACTAACTAAATTTTTWAAAAAATGTTTAAAAATAAAAGACTGGGGTCTGGGGTTGTGGCTCAGAGGTAGAACACTTGCCTAGCATGTGTAGGCACTGGGTTTCATTCTCAGCACTGCATATAAATAATTAAATAAATAGATAGATAGATAAATAAATAAATAAATAAGGTCCACTGACCACTAAAAAAGACTGTATTTAAGCTTTTTTTTCTACAATAAAATACCTTGAATTTGGTGATTTATTTTGTGATGATGAGGAAAGTTGGCCAAGGTTAAAGCCTGAACATTCTTCATTCTTGATCGTAGAGAAGGATCACAGATGACCTATTTTTTTTCCTTTCTTTCTTTCCTTTTTTTTTTTTTTTTTTTTTTTGTTGTTGTTTTTCTTTTTAGTTATACATGACCTGGTTCTTGACTGAGTCACGGAAGAATAAACCCACCCTGGATATCTGATTATATAAGAACTCTCTGTTGTTTAATCCGTTTTGAACTGGCTTCTGTTATTTGCAGTAGAAACTCTCCAAACCAAAACAGTGGGAAGAATGCCTGTGTGTGTGCTGTGTGCATCAGGTCAGTGAGGGCAGAGCTGGGAGTGCTTCTGCCCCATCTTCAGAGCGTCCAGTAAAGCAGCATCCCTTCAGTTGCGCCATAGGCCTTGGACTTGGGAATCCAATGCAGAGTTGATATTGGGACAAATCGAGGTACCATCCTGTACCTCAAAACATGATAAGTGCTTATGGTTATGTTTTTCTATGCGTCTCAGCCCCCTGAGATGTTAGGCTATTCAGTACATAACATTTCACCTATATCCTGCCTCAGTTTACCATTGTTGAAAAGCTTAGTAATCACATTGCTGCAGACTGCCAGGGACCAGCAATCCTTCACTGACCACCAGTGAGGGATCCTCATTGCATCCAGATGGAGACTGACAACTCCAGGGGCCTTTCTGACATCTGCCTCCCAGGACCATATCCAGTTATGCTAAGTTAAGCTCCCTGGAAACGGATTCTTGGCCAAGTGGTTTATGTAGGAATGCTCTCAGTAGAACAGATAGGAAGAAAGGATGTGTGCCACAGGGTGGGGGTGGTGGTGCTCAAGGAGACTAGCTTCAACCTGACCATGGGGAGCTCTGAGTTGTACTGCAGAGCCGGCCCCACCTTTAGTACCACAGTACTTGTCAGTCTTTGGTGATGAGCTGCCTGGGGTGAAGGGTGGGTAGGGGGGGAGTAACGTAACAGCTGGGGGTAAATGCACCCAGTTAAGGGGATCCAGACAGAGCACTGGCAGTGTCCACTACAATTTCCCAACTTACTCCAATAGCCAAAATCTTGCATAACTCCACATGACCTAGCTCATCCACCCCCCCATCTCCTTACCTCTGAGATCATCCCCAACTACTCACCCTGTCACTCCACCTCGGCCACACGGTCACTTTGCAATTCCTCAAATTCTCCAGCATGCTCCTGCTGCAGATCCTTTGCACATGTCCATTCCCTCACGTGGAATGATCTTCCCTGCTGAGGTCCTGGTGATGAGGTCCCTGATGTAGACTTCTGATCTTTACTTAAAACACACCTTCCTAGTAAGACTTGCTCTGGCTGCTCTATTTAAAATGACAACTTTGGGGCTGGGGTAATGGCTCAGCGGTAGAGCGCTTGGCTAGCACATGAGAGGCCCTGGGTTCGATCCTCAGCACCACATAAAAAAAAATCAATGAATAAATAAAATAAAGGTATCGTGTCCATCGAAAACTAAAAAAATTAAAATTTTTTTAAATGACAACTTCCACCCCAAACCAGTACTTATAATCCTTTTTTTCTTCATTACTTTTACCCTTGGCACTTGCCAGTTTCTAACATTCTTACAGTTTCCTTATTTATCTTGTTTACTATCTAGTCCTACTCTACAATATATAGTGAGGAAGATTTAAAACAGTGCCTCTGTTGGTTGTAGGTGCTCAGATGAATGAATGTATGAATGAATGAATGAATGACTCCCAGCACAAAGTGTAAAATATTGTTTGAATTGAACCAGGAAATATCTGCACAGCCTGTTATATATTAATAGAGAGGGGGGAAGGCATATACATTATCATAGGCACAGTTCTCCACAAAGATGTCCCTTCTTCAATCATATTATGAAAGCTTAGTTTCTTCATGTGTATATGTTAATATATAATACAGTGTATTATTTATACCTATATAAGTATTAGTGAATAAAAATAGAAACACTAAAGATTTTCTAATTTTATTTAAATGAGTTCAAATTGAGCTTGATAATCCAGTTCTACATAATAAAGTAAGGTAAAAAGCAGAGCAAAAAGAGCAAAATTAAAGTGAAAACAAGATGTAGAGATAATTCCTATAATGCAAAATTTAAATTCAAGGTAAAATTACTATTTCAGCTGGTTTTTTTTTTTTTTTTTTTTTTTTGGACCAGGAATTGAACCCAGGGGTGCTTAACCACTGAGCCACATCCCCAGCCCTTTTTAATTTTTCTTTTAAGTCAGGATCTCACTAAGTTGCTGATGCTGGCCTGGATCTTGTGAGCCTCCTGCCTCAGCCTCTGAAGCTGCTAGGATCACAGGCGTGTGCCACTGTACCCAGCTAAAACTATAAACTCTTTACTGCAATGTCACGATCTAATTTTAGAGAGTAGAAAATAATTAAGAAATGTAAAATTGGAAATCTCTCAAAACTCTACCAGAAGATACCAAAAATCTTTTAAGGATCATCGAAGTGTTTTAGGAAGATATCTTTTCAAAACCAAAATTACTGAAAATACAAAGGCAGCTATTAGACACACTATTATGTTTTTGTTTTTGCAGAACCTGCTACTGGCAGGAGATTAGCCTGAGGCAGCCTCGGAACCAGCATCAGCTTCTTCCTGCAAAGGCCCAGCAGAGGACTGGGAATCAGCTGGAGAAGTTCCTTCCAGCTCAGCACATTCCTGGGAGCAGTCGTTCTCTGGAATACCTTGATGGTTGCAGGTGGAAATGCCTTCACCTGCTGCTACATTCGTAGCCTCTGGGGTCATTTCAGAACCGTCCTCTGTGGTGTCACCTGTCTGTGCACTTGTAACCTTGGGCTCCATTTCAGCACCCACAGCCGTCACCTCCTCCTTAGTGGCCTCCACACCACCTGGACCCGTGGACTCTTCTACGTCCCCAACTGCAGCCTCTGCAATTTCTTCAGCACCTACCACCTCAGCTTGCACGACAGAAACTTCCAGAGCTTCTGAACTCGCTTTCTCAGCTTCTGCCACATTCTCTTTTTCACCTTTAAGATTTAGTCCATTAAGCAGAATGTTAATTTAAAGAACATGGGACGCAATTGTACACTGTGCAATCATTTAAAAAACTGAGTCAGATCTACATGTGCTGATATTTAATGGTCTTCCAAGTGGACTTAAAAGGAAAAATCAAGGAAAGAACAATGTATACAGTATGGACAAAAAGGGGTGTTATATAGCCAGAGGGCTGTATTTGCAAAGACCCTCTCTGGGATTCAAAGAAACTGATAATGTCAGTTGCCTTTTGGGAGGGAAGATGAGAGATCTGCTTTCTTAAAAACTCTTTTGAACTTAAAAAATTTGCATATATTACTTAGTCAAACACTAATACTAACAAATAACCACCATTTCAACCTTCCATATGAGATGGTATGGAAGAGTGGCCAAGGTGCTAGCTGATGACCCTGAGGAAACCACTAATCCTCTCTCAACTTCAGCTTAATCATCTGTAAATAAGAATACTGATAATATTTACTTCACAAGGCTATTGTGAAGATTAACTAAAATAATCTACATAAAATGGGCCTTCAAGCCAATAAAGTGTTACGCAGATGCTGTATTAATAATATTATAATAATATTTGTAATGATAATATTATTATAAACAGACTTCTCATGATTCTATTCAATAACATTTATCAGTGATATTCTGTCTCTTATTGTTGTTATGATGAAAAGGGTAAACTGATTCATGAGCAGCCAGTATCTCCGTCCCTAAATAGTGCCCATGGCAATTGATAATGGCATTAACATTGAGATGGAAAAAAACTATTTTAAAGTAAATAGTTGTAGGGGCTGCAATTGTGGCTCAGTGATAGAGTGTTTGCCTCCCATATGTGAGCACTGGGTTTAGTCCTCAGTACCACATAAAAATAAATTAAAATAAATTAATTAAGAAAAGCTATTATGTCTATCTACATCTAAAAATTTTTTTTTAAAAGTAAGTAGTTGTAGGCAAGAAATGGACATAAGGGTGACTATGTCAACTTTCTGTCCCCAGGATTGACATTTTTATCAATGGAGGGGCTCAGTGTACCCAACTCTAATGGCCAGTACACTTTCAGCAAAGACACAAGRAGGTCTTAGTCAAAACAGAAACAAAAATTAACCTTATGATTTAAAAAAAAAATGAGGGAAACGAAAGGTCAAGCTGCTGAGGGAGACAAATTCTAAAATTATGCCCGCATGAATGGATGTCTGAGTAGGAGACAAATAATATTACCACACAAAGAAGTCAAAGCCACGGTCAGCGGCATGAATGCAAAATGTTCATTTATCAAATGCACTCATCCAAAATGCCTAAGAATATTCTTTAGATTTTTGGTTGGGCTTTTCCTTCCTGAATGAATTCCTACAAAGAGCCATTCTGGATTAAGTTAGCCAAGAAGCCAAAGGCAAATAGTGTTCATTGCTAGTCTAAGAGGATGGGAATCAGTGTCTCAAAAATAAATAAATAAATAAATAAATAAATAAATAAATAAATAAATAAATAAATAAAATAATTAAGAAAGTCCCCTTACCTTGAAGTGGATGTAACTCTGCTTTTGTTTTTTCTTTCAAATTTGTTATATGTTCTGTGTGTTTGGCTTGCTTTGATGTGACTGTCTTGTAAGTCTGAAAGAAAATGTGTACTTAACTTTACTTCCTTTTTTGGGGGGGTACTGGGGATTGAACTCAGGGGTACTTTGTCATTGAGCTACATCCACAGCACCCCCCTCCTTTTTTTTTTTTTTGATCGTGCTAGGGATTGAACTTGGGGCCTTGTGCATGCTAGGAAGCACTCTACCAACTGAGCTATATCCATAGACCCTAGCCCCAGCCCTTTTTGTTTTGAGACAGAATCTCACTAAAATTGCTTAGGGCCTTGCCAACTTGCTGAGGCTGGCTTTGAACTTGCGATCCTCCTGTTTCAGCCTCCTGAGTTCCTGGGATTACAGATATGCACCACCATGCCCAGCCTTAGTTTATTTCTTAAACTCTTGCCAAGTTCAAAGGTACACACRGTTCTCCATGTAATTACCATAAGAAGTTTAAGCCACAATCCCAGTGCAGCCAAGAAGGGAAACCAACTTTACCATTTATTCTTTTACTTCTCCTTTGGACAGTTTTGTCATTAAGTGGAATGCTTAAAAAAGAAAAGGAAAGGAACATGCTCTAACGAGTCAAAGTCAGCTGAAAACATGCACAGGAAATAAGAAGATGMGGACAAAGAAGGAAAAAATTAATTATGCCAGAACCAAAATATCCTCACAGACATTTACAAACATCCTCCAGAACTTATCACGGACAAAGGTAAATCCAGGTTCACGCAGACACTCACATACAAATATTCGTGGTGGTTTCATTTATAATGGTCAAATAACAAGAATCAGCTCAGATGGTCTACAAAGGATGAACTGTTAAACTAGCTGTGGTCTTTCTGTAAYAAGGAACACAACTCTGCAGCAAAAAGGAATGAACAGTGGGTACAAGTGACAGTTCCAATGAATCTCCAGGCAATTACACTGAGTGGGAAAAAGGCCACTCAAAAGGTTCCATACCTGTGGATCCATTTAGGTAGCATTCTTGAAACGACAAAAATATAGAAATAGAGAAGAGATTARTTGGTTGCCAGGGGTTAGGAGAAAGGGAGGGCAGAAGGGAGAGAATTATAAAAAGGTAGCATGAAAGATGCTTATAGTATTGGAACTATCCTGCATCTGAAAAGTGCTGACACATCTATGCATCTAGACAGGATAAAACTGCATAGAATTTAATGGGTGCATGTAAAACTAGTCAAATTGGATTAAGATGGATGAGTGGTATAAATGTCACTTTCCTGATGGTGATGTTGCATTATAGCAAAAAAGATTATCATTGGGGAAAATGAGGTAAAGGATAGAGAGAACTGCATGTGAATCTTACTTGTCTCACAATGAAATTTAAAAAAAAAAAAAAATCTCCCAAATGACACACCACACAGCTACATCCTAAAGAAGATTTCTTAGGTAGGCTAGGGTGAGTCATAAAAAGCAACACTAGCTGACTGTAGGTTACTGGAGAAATAATATGGGGCAGAAAGTTATCTTAATTATAGACAAAATGTGCAGGCCTTCTTTCATTTCATACTCACAAGTCTTCTTTGGCCTATCAYATTAGGCAATAATATTCAAAAAATAAAAATCTAACCAGGAATAGTGGTGCAAGCCCGTAATCCCAGCTACTCGGGAGACTGAGTCAGGAGGATCAAGGGTTTGAGGCCAGTCTAACCTGAACATAGTGAGATCCCTTCTCAAAAAACAAAACAAAACAAACAAACAAAAAACAAAAACAAAAAAAGAAAGAAGAAAGAAAGAAAGAAGCAGAGAAAAGAAGAAAATCTGATGCACACCTGTATCCCAGCAACTTGGGAAGCTGAGACAGGAGGATCATGAGTTCAAAACCAGCCTCAACAACTTAGCCAGGCCCTAGATAACTCAGAAAACCCTGTTTCTAAATAAAATATAAAAAGGGCTGGGGATGTGGCTCAGTGGTAAAGGGCCCCTGGGTTCAATCCCTGGTACTCCAAAAAACAAAAACAAAACAAAAAAACAAAGAAGAATATCTAGTGCTGGGGTTCAAGAATGGTAGAGTATGTACTTAGTACATCAAGGCCTGGATTTAATCCTCAGCACCAACAATAAATTAATAAATAAAAATGAAAATCTTATTATTTAGATAATATTATTTGTAATGTCTCCGCTTTTTTGGTAGTGATTTAACTCTTAGTGGTAGAATGATGAATTTTTAAAAGTTGTATATTCATATATATTTTCTAAATTTTAATAATCAGGAAGCTAGCACTTTATTTTTATTAATTAAATACAAACATCATCACCCACCATTTTTTTATATTTTATTTAGAGACAAGGTCTCCGTGAGTTGTTTAGGGCCTCACTAAATTGCTGATGTTGTTTTTTTGTTTTGTGTTAATATTTTTTAATTGTAGATGGACACAATACCTTTATATTTATTTATTTTTATGTGGTGCTAAAAATTGAACCCAGTACCTCAAGTGGTAGGCAAGTGCTCTACCCCTTAGCTACAACTCCAGGCTCCTGAGGCTGGCTTTGAATTTGTGATCCTCCTGCCTCAGCCCCTGGGATCACAGGCAGATGCCACTGCACCCCACATCCCTAGTCCTTTTTACTTTCAGAAAGGGTCTTACTGTGTTGCCAAGGGTCTCAATAAATTGATAATGGTCTTGAATTTGTCATTTTCCTGTCCCAATCTCTATTTTATTTTATTTTTTTTTTAAAGAGAGAGTGAGAAAGGAGAGAGAGAGAGAATTTTTTTTTTATTATTTATTTTTTAGTTCTCGGCGGACACAACATCTTTGTTGGTATGTGGTGCTGAGGATCGAACCCGGGTCGCACGCATGCCAGGCGAGCGCGCTACCGCTCGAGCCACATCCCCAGCCCTGTCCCAATCTCTAAAGTTGCTGGGATTACAGGTATGCACAATCATGCCCAGCTGGGGTTCTTTTTAGAAATACCTTTAGACCCTCAGAAAATTGAACTGATCTGGGACTATTTTATATCTAAGGAGCCCTAACAGTAGAATATTTTCCTTGGAAATGGAAAAGTGCTCTTGGCTACTGAGCATCCACGGATCAATTTGCAAAACCCTGCTACAGAATCATTTTAGTGCAGGAAAAGTGAAAGAGAAGGGAGGACTACAATACAGATTTTGTAGTGCTTCACATTCTGTGATTCCTAAAAGTAGTCTAAGATTCTTGGGAATTAAGGCTTTTAAGGTTTGATATTCAAATGAAAGAATCTCATTAAACATTAGTATTCGAGTGAATCAGACTTAGTGGGATTCCATTTTTACAACTCTGCTATACTCAGCCTTTGGATTTTGAAGTAAAAATAAAGTATCTCTGACTTTCTGTTAAAAAATAAATAGGGGGCTGGGGTTGTGGCTCAGTGGTAGAGGGCTTGCTTAGTATACATGAGGCACTGGGTTCAATCCTCAGCACCACATAAATGTAAAATAAAGATATTGTGTCCACCTAAAATTTAAAAATAAATATTAAAGTAAATAAATAAATAAAACTAGGGCTGGGGTTGTGGCTCAGTGGTAGAGGGCTTGCTTAGTATACATGAGGCACTGGGTTCAATCCTCAGCACCACATAAATGTAAAATAAAGATATTGTGTCCACCTAAAATTTAAAAATAAATATTAAAGTAAATAAATAAATAAAACTAGGGCTGGGGTTGTGGCTCAGTGGTAGAGGGCTTGCTTAGTATACATGAGGCACTGGGTTCAATCCTCAGCACCACATAAATGTAAAATAAAGATATTGTGTCCACCTAAAATTTAAAAATAAATATTAAAGTAAATAAATAAATAAAACTAGGGCTGGGGTTGTGGCTCAGCGGTAGAATGCTTGATTAGCATAAGTGAGGGCACTGGGTTCGATTCTCAGCACTGCATATCAATAAATGAATAAAATAAAGATCTATTAACAACTAAAAATTTTTTTAAAACTACATAATCTCAGATACGAAAGGGGACATAGATCATCATCTTGTTCAATTTTCATTCCATTTTGAGAGAATGAGGCTGCAAAGGGCTCTCAGGACTATTCAGTTGATAACCTTTCAGGGTTTGTTTTTTTTTTTTTTTTGTGGTGCTGGGGATTGAACCCAGGGCCTTGTGCATTCGAGGCAAGCACTTTGCCAACTGAGATACATCCCCAGCCSTATAACCTTTCAGTTTAAGATTCATATTTTTTGGTGGGAGAGGGTACTGGAGATTGAACTTAAGGGCACTAGACCACTGAGCCACATCACCAACCCTATTTTTTAAAAAATAATTTTTAGATGTTGATGGACCTTTATTTTATTCATTTATTTATATGCAGTGCTGAGAATTGAACCCAGTGCCTCACTCATGCTAGGCAAGTGCTCTACCACTGAGCTCCAGCCCCAGCCTCAGACCTATTTTTTGTGTTTTATTTAGAGACAGGGTCTCACTGAGCTGCTTAGCGCCTCGCTTTTGCTGAGGCTGGTTTTGAATTTGCGATCCTCCTGCCTTAGTCTCCTGAGCCACTGGGATCACAGTTGTGTGAAACCACACCCGGCTCAGTTTAAGATTCCTTTTGCAAAGAAAGAATTAGCAGGGCTGGGGATGTGGCTCAAGCGGTAGCACGCTCGCCTGGCATACGTGTGGCCCGGGTTCGATCCTCAGCACCACGTACAAAGAAAGATGTTGTGTCCGCTGAAACTAAAAAATAAATATTAAAAATTCTCTCTCTCTCCCTCTCTCACATTCTCTTAAAAAAAAAAAAAAAAGAATTAGCAGACTAAAGAGGCTCATGTCTGGCACCAGTTCATATAATTAAGTAGTATTGTGATAGCCAGATGAAATTTAGTCTTTTAGATTCCCAGGTCATCCATCACACGGCCTAGTCCTAATTTGTTTTTTCAGGGTTTACATTCAACTAGAGTGGCCTAGGCAACGAACTCAATATCAAGCAGCAGAATATGATAGAAGAAAAGGAAAATGGGTGTGAGTGAAAGCTGGCAGATACCAGTGACATATTTGAAGTTTCCTGACTAATTGAGGCTGTCACAATTCTGAAGGTTAG